CTGTTGCGTACGTTTCCAGGAGCCAATTGGCCCTGGGTTTTCCCGATCTTCTCATACGTTCAATCCTTGGGTAGTAGTAAGTACTTGTTTCAAAAAATTACCCGCCGTAATGGGTCTTCCACGTTGGTTCGCAAAATAGGTCCTAGTAGTTTGCACTTCGGGAGCCTCCAGTTTCCGAGAACTTTACCACTTAGACTTGGACATTGCGAGATATCTGTAGCATTTCAACTACTATTCTGTTTGAGTAAGAACGGTCAAGAAATGCAGGGGGGATGTGTAACATTCTTCTGTAACCCTTCATTTGAATAGTTCGTCCTGTGTTAGTTGAATAGCCTCTAAACCGTATAATAATGTACTTCGTCGTATCGAATGGAAGACTTGTATTTTCCAGTTGGCTGTCGTTTTGGCACGGGCTCAAAAAAGCTTGAATTTATTGCACCTTCCTGTTGCGTCTGCAAGCCTGCCGTTGATTTCTCCTTTATTGTCGACATTACCTGCAATAACGTACCCAAGTAAGTTGCAGAATTTTCTGGCAGTGTATCTAATACCTGGTATAGGCTCGCGCTGTTCCGCCGACTGGAGTCTATCTTGAATATCTGTTTCGCAAGGTGCGATACTTCTTGAATACGATTCAGCAGCGCCGCCCAATGCGTCCGGCGGTATCCTCCAAGGTTCGACGTAGCTGTTGGCTCTGACGACGAAGCATCGACTTGGCGGTTGAAGAGTAAGAGGGGGATGACGAACTGGGCCGAGACGACGGGACGGCGGACTGAATCCGGTCATCCTCCTTGGCGCTTGTCTCCTCGCTGCGCGCATCATTGCCCTTCACAGTATTTGTCTTAGAATCCATAGCACGGCCCACATCTCCAGTGTCGCGGCGTTCCGTAGCACTCATGGCTGCATCTGTGCTTTCTTTGCCCGGCTGTCGGCTTGCGTCACAATGTCCGTGGCATCTTGAACACTGCCGCCGTAGTAATTTTCCATCTCCTGGATCTGATCTGTCAATGCACGTTTGCCTCCCTGCGCATCTTGCGCTTGGACGAATCAAGTTTATGACATAATGTAAGGAACGCACACGCGGACCATCTGGCTGTCGTGTCTGCGACAGCATCTCGCACATCACCGCAAGACTGCAAATTACGACCCGCAAGCTTGAGCTGCCTCCGCGCATTGTATATCGTGACGGCCACTTCCTGCACGGTGACGGGCTGGTCTAGCCCTTCTGTTCAGGGTTTAGAGTTTAGGGTTCCGGGTTCTCCCAAGCACTCTGCCCTTGGAGCTTCGCAAGGACGGGGCTCGCACGCGGAGCATCATCTTTTGCTGGCAAAACGTCCGAAACCGACGAGGAACAAGGAACCCCCCCCCGAAGCACAGGTCCTGGACGACTCATCCCCTCCCATAATATCGCATACTCCAGGGATTTTAACGTTTCTGAAGGTGATCCAGTCGCATATTGTGTATTCCGCTGCATGTAGCATCTCGTCATCTGAACTTCGGGCGGCTGCCGCGGCAATTTCCAACCGTCTCGCGGTTGCCTGAATCTTCCGACCCATGTTCGCTCTCGATTGATGAGTTCCTTGGTGCCGTTAACTAACTTCACAATACATGGAAACGACTTTCGGTTTAGGTTAATTTAGAGCCTAGAGTAGTCAACATGCGTATGCGTGTGTGTCGTGCGCCATCGCTCGTCGAGTTGCATTGCGTGTCTCCCACCGCACACCGATTTCAGCAGTTGCTCTATGCATTTGCTCAAGTGTCGCCGAAAGCGGGCTGCAACAAGTCATCGCTGAAGCGTCTGCGCAGGAATGCACAGACGCTTGCTGGCAGGGACGCTCGGGAGCCCTGACACGCAAAGCCAAATAGTGGTGCTCCGCCTCCAGCGCCTGCATGGACGTCAGGGCAGAGCAGTACTTCATCAGTTCACCACCACTGGCTGCACGAGCACTGCTAAGGCGCGGCTCCTCCATCGCAGTGATGACAATCTCTGGGACGCCACTTGCATCACCCCAAACTGCAGAGCATTTCGGCAGCTGGGTCCGCTTGCGGTTGCGAGAGGCCATGAGGAGACTAAGGATACGAAAGGCTATGAGGGAACTAACACTCCAAATATAGGGCGTCCGAGCCCGAGCATCGGTGATGCAGAGCGGTGGGGTTAGGGTTTGGAATCTGTTTTGAAATTGAAGGGCGTTCGGGCCTTAGGGTCGGGAATGGGTTTTAAAACCGGAACCCAACAACTCAGGGCCCTTAGGGCGGGCTGGGCCTGAGCACATCGATGATAAAGAGCGGTGGGGTGGGGTTTAAGTTTTGGGCCGTAGGGTTTGGAATCAATTTCAATCGTATGTCAACATGTTCTCTCTTTCGTCAAGTACGCGTATCTATTGAGTTCGCTATTTCTGTTCTTTGTCTTTTCACATTTGTGGTTTTGATTATGTCGCTGCTTGGTTTGTCACTTTTCTTTCTGTTCGATGTGTCAACCATTCCTCGCTAAAGTCAATGCATGTCGTTCTTTATCTATTTCCTTCGGTCGGCAATCCTGATTGAAAGCGTCCTTCGTTCTTTTCTTCACTTCAGTACTAGCTTGTGTGGTACTTTATTGGTCGCTTTCCTTATTTCTGCATTTAGTTCGTTCTTTCCTTGTTCATATGAGTATTCGTATTTCCTTCTTTTCTTTTTCTTTATTTATTTATGTCTTTATTGATTGCTTTCTGTCGTTCATTATTTCTTTATGTCTTTATTTCTGTCTTTCTGGCTGTCTTTTTCCTGTATCTATTTCTCTCTTTCCTTAGTTCTTTATTTCTTGCTTTCTTTGTTTCTTCATGTTTGTTGTTTCATTTCTTTTTTTCTTTCTTTCGTTCTTTCTGTCTTTCCTGCATCCTTTTCTGTCCTTCTTTGGTAGTTCGTTGTTTCTCTCGTTCTATCGCTCGTTCTTTCTTGTCAGCCTTTCCCTTGACAAATCAGCCCTCCCCCCCCCCCCCCCCCCCCCCCCCCCCCCCCCCCCCCCCCCCCCCCCCCCCCCCCCCCCCCCCCCCCCCCCCCCCCCCCCCCCACCCTCCCAGCCACAAGAAAGTCCAAACGTAGAACAAAGCAACAAAGGACCAAAAGAAACAGGGGCTTGCTCAAAACCGCCGCCCTGAACCCTACTCAACCCCAAACCCTGCGATGTTTTAAAAACCAAAGTCACAGTGTCGTTTCCACAGATGACGGCCTTCATGGTACTTCTTCATAAAATTCATAAACAACCTAATTCGCAACGGTTTGCCTCCAGGCCCCTTTGAACCTTAGGGTTCAAACTGCGCTCTAATGTTTGCAAAAAACTGTCGCCCGGGATCCTTCTTGCTTTGACGGGAGGGGTGGTCTAGAGCTGCAACTCCTGATACGGAAGAGGAAGCAACGTCGCTATGCTTATTAGGATACGCGGTTTGTCTTACGGGGAAAGTTAATTGTGTGCTCTTTGATCTCTTTGCACAGGTCACATCAGGATGCCGTGCATGTCAAGTGCGATTCTCACAACAGATGAGGGCTGCACCATGATCACCCCAAAGTAGCCTGACAAGGATTGAAAATGTAAGCTTAAGGGAGGGTGTGTCCAGATTCATGTGTAAAACAGGTCCGCTCAGGCCTTGCATCAATACCTCAATCTCTTCTGGCTGGTCTCCACCGTCATCCGGGAACTGGCGCGTCACTATCGGCCTTCCAGCTCGCCCTATATTATGGCAAGCAGCAACCATTGACCACGTTGGTCCCTGTTGACTGAACGCCCATGCGTGCCTCGAATCTAGGCCATCTCCCGAAAGCAAGTATCGCTTTGTTCTCTGGCCATCATCCGAGGTCCTGGCGACTACAGCTTCAGACAGATTGCCATCAAAGAACAAACTGCTTACAAGCTGGAATCCGTTGCTCCTCTTCTCTATCCAAAAGGAAGTGCCATCTGTGCCACCGAAGTCGGCCTAAACGGGCAGCACAACGCAGCACGATTCACGATGCTTCGCACAACGAATTCGGATGGTTTCGGCGAGGGCTCAGCGATGCCTCTGCATGCAGGACAATGCCGCAAGTACTTGGGCAGGGCGAGTGGACGTTGAACTTCATCAAATACCTGACAAAGCTCTGCTGAAACCTTTTAGCACAAACACGCAAAAAGGATCAGGTGTTGCCAACACCCGGCCACGAAGGTCATTGCTGTTGTAACCCTGTCTGATGTTCGGGCTCATGGAGCTTACAGAGTCTCTGGAGCACTTGTCCAGTCTCCCACACCGCAGCCAGTATAGCGGCGTATCCTGGCCAGGCTGCAGTTTGCTGCCGCACCCGGATTGTGACTAGATTGCACACTGCGCGCTGGGTTCTTGTCTTGCACAAGTTGCCGAGGCCCCCGCTGCTTGAAGCGTAAAATTCCAGGCGCCAAGAACCTGCAAGGCAAGGACCAGGACAGGCAAGCTGCCCAAAATTGCTGTGGAAGTTCCACGAATATGGCTGATGACCAACAGGACCAGCGTGTGTAGAAGCTGCCTGAACATCATCGAGACCCTTCAGGTCAACCACTCCAGTGCTGGGCGCCATCAACCTGATCCTGAAGAGGACAGCAGCGTTGAACAATGAACGTTTTGCCACATAGTTTCATCAAAGCCATCACGGTCCTTCAGCTCCCTCTTCACGGGCCATCCACGCAACAGGCAAGTGCAATCCAAAAAGGCTTTTCACAGCAAGGGCTTGGAAATTGAGTTCTCGGTGCCTGCATTATTCAAAACAGCTAAAGTTGGTCATGGTCATGGGCTAAACTATGTCATCGTATCATGCAATCGTACAACCCCATGACATGGCAAACGCTGACGGCCGACGCACAACTTTCCAGGGTTGAGTATCAGGATGACATGTGCAGCAGAGGCCAGAGAACACAGAGAGATAGAGAGAGAGAGAGGAATATAAAAAAAGACAGGGGGAGAGGAAGGGGGGAGAGCGGGCGAGGGAGAAAGCGAGAGACATGGGATCTCCAAGTGCGACGCATAATTTGCAGACGCGCCCAGGTGCGTGACTTTCCTGCTCGACCACTGCAAGATGCTCCAGAACTCTGCATCCAAACGATCCGAGAGGAACAGCCTCGGCCATGTGACCATGTTCTTGGGCGATGGCCTTGGTTCATGACATTCGAAATTGCCATTAAAAGGCCAACGAAGGCTGACCATGGTGATCCAAGGACAATACTGCTTCGTGTTGAGATTGTAGAACAGGCCCACATTCTCCTCATGCACAGAGTTGGGCTAAGTTTTAACACCTGGGAGATCCTTCAGGGCCTGAATAAGCAGCAGAAGCTCGTTTCCTTGGCTGATCGCCACAGCACAGGCAGCTTCGCAAAACATGGCCGCTGATTCCCATCTCACTTTTGCATCGCTCAGAGAAGGCATCGTTCGCATTAAAAATTATGTATCTACATATGCATATATATATATATATACATATATATATATATATCATATCATCTTTTGCATCCCAGATACCGGGCAAGACGGCGATGCGTGGTGTGTGCTTCCCGTCCAACGGGCAGACGTCCTCCCACGCAAGGCCGGTCCTGAGAGGTGCTGAGAAAGTCGCTTGCGTTCGCTTGTTGCGGCGTACTGCGGCTGAAAGTTTCTTTGGCTGCATGGGAGCAACCATTTGAAAGTGAAAGTGCAGCTCCATTTTTCCTCTCTTGCCTCACTGAATCAGAGCCACCACGCAAGTGACATTGTCCTGCCTTAGTCGGGGATGCTCTGCTGAGAATGCCCTAGCTGCCTCAGGGCTTATCCTGTGATCCTGCCGAGATTCTGCCTTGGGTCCGACAAAGCTGCCTTGACAATGGATTTCGCTGCAGCGGCAGGGTCTCCGGTCTCTCGGAGTTCTTTGCTCACCAACCTTGGACATTGTTTCTCAATGTCATCCCAAATCTTTCAGAGACAGCGCAGAGGCGCAGAGTCAGAGTCATCAAGTTGTCAAACGAACAAGGCTCACTTGACCTGCTTGCTGCTCAAGGGCGCGGCTGCCTGGAAGGGACGAAAAGCATCTGTCAGGCTGCCAACTGTACTGCTGACGTGCCTCGGGCCTTGCTGCTGCTTAGCACGTCGAAAACCCCGTCGCATGCTAAAACAATCGCGTCCCCGCTTTGGCACTCGAACTCCTGATTTGCTCAGAAGTGGCGTCTTGACATGTAAATGCACTGGCAAAACAGCAGATGGCTTCACACAATGGTTTAAAGTTGCATGCTTCCCAAATCTTCCCAAGATTGCAATCAGGAGGCGTACACTTCCGGTACAGCTGAAACCTGACCAGTCACAAAAGCATTCAAACATACTCAATCCAGGAGGCAAAAGCCCGGAAGGCCTTCTGCTGCTCTGGCAAGAGTGCAGCATCCTCCTGGTTCAGGCGATGAGAGATGCCAGAGTCAGATGCAAATTCTGTAAAGCTCTACAACTTAAATCGTGCTCTGGCTTGCGTGGCATCCTTGAACCGAAAGTCGCCCAAAGCTCTCGAGCAGCCCAGATATCCTTAGATATCCTTGTCTCTTCGTTTCTTGTCTCAGGATGTACTCTGGACTGGAAGTACGATGCATAGTCCGACAAGCAAATCACCAAAGGATGCGACCGTCGACTCTCATGACCGGCACTTTGCTTCCCGGGAAGACCTCCACCTCGGGTAGTGTGTGCTGATGCATGCCTTAGGCTGAGGGTGACTTGCCCGAGCTACTCCCGGCCTTTCCTCCAGCAGCACGGATGCGCTTCTCTTCCTCCGGAGCATTTGGCGTGTGGTCTTTTGTCTCTCCGACCAGCTCGTGACCTGAGCCATTCGCAACAGTAGGCCGTTAGGCCTACACTGGGCATGCACCTACACGAACCGCTCCTTCTTGAACCAGACTTGAGCACTGCAAAGTTTACAGCAGAATGCGGCCAGGTTGCTGGCAGGACCACCATTCTTGTGGGACTTCCTCAAGTCTGGGTAATGACATGCCACAGAAACATCAAGGATCCCACTGTGAGTGCAGCAAGGCCACAGAACCAAGCCGCGCCTGGGTGGACAAGGGGCTGTGAAGGCTGCGAGCAGGCTGCAGGGCATGAGGCGACACTCGCTCTGTGAATCAAGTTGCGAGTCTCCCAAGTTGGCCAGAACCAGACCATACGTGGAAGCAACATCCTGAAACCGCGCAACAAAAAAGGAAACATCTGCTCTGGAGCCTGAAGGAACCTCTCACGGCATGCTCAACACAAATCGCAAGGAAGTGCCCCGCGACCTCTTTCTTCCACACATATGCGAAAACGCAGGTTGTGCCACCTCTGCCAGTGGACAGGCACAGAAACGTTAGGCCCTGCGATCCAAACACCTGTGCATGCGCTGCCTCGGGACCGAAAACCTAGAGGGCCTAGGGTGACCTGACCGCTAAGTTGGGTCTGGTAGGTCTGCCAATGGCCTTCCCGACCCGCAACAACCAATACTAGCAGTGAACCTAAAAAGAACCTGCGAAGTCGTGTCAAGAGAGCCACACTCCCTGGCTGCTGGCCCAAGTTTGATGCGCAGGTGCCTGTCCAAGGCCTTGCACCGAAGTAGTTCTTCAACCATTCAGGCGCCGCTCTGAAGCATGTAGGTCTAGTCTGTAGAGAGAAGCTGCGGGAGAAGCTGCTCAGAGCCCGACAAGATACGTGCCAGCGACCTCTGCACAGACATACGAAAACGTGAAATCGACGAACCTGTATATACCACATGCACTACGACACGTCTCGAAGCCTCGGAGAAAGAATCTGAAACATATGCTACGAGCATTCTAAGAGCAAGGCAGCTGCTTGCCTTGCTTCAGGCGTGTCTCGGCCAGCTGCATCCAACTCCTCTCAGAAAGCTCGCACTTAAACATCCTAAGCTTCCTTCGACATCCTCCAGCACTATCAGCCGACTCTTAGCCTAGTGGCCTAGTGGCACTTTTCTTGCTGCCCAGGCACCTCTCGGATCTCTGTGGGTATCCGCTCGGCGCACGCACGTGCGGCAGAGACCCCTCCATGGCCGTCGAAGACCGCAAAGAGGCAGTCTGTGCAAGTTGGCTTCTCGACGGCTGGCAACGAGGGCCCACTGACCAAATCTGGAAGGTCATCGAAAAGCCCAGGCAATCCTGCTGCCTTGATGTTCGGCGCAGGGCCTTCTGGAAGCCCATCGCAGATCATCACGTGAACATCCTCGTTCTGCGGTCGGGGACCCTGAGCGCTGCAAGCAGCGGAGGCTGCCCAGGGACCTTTTGAACTCTCCACCTTGATGCTTCCATCGCCCGTGTTCACGACCATCTTTTCACACAGAAAAAGTGGTTCACATGGAGCAGTTGAAGATTTAACTTGACTAGAGCTCATCAATCATGTTGGCGAGCCATGTGTTCAGCAAGTTGCTGTCCTCCCATGTGAACTATTTGGTGAACTATTTGAGAGCTCTGAGCTGAAGATGCCAGCAACAATCAACCATGTGAGACTCTGTAGCATAAAGAATGTCACAGGTGCATGTAAAAGCCGCCGACCTTTCCGAGTAGAGTTTGTATTCTCTGCCTCGTCTCTGTGATGGTGACACTGCTTTGGCACAGCACTGGGCGCAGCTCGAAACAGGGTGCGACCAAGAAACGGAAGCCAGCGCAAATCAAGGATTGGTGCCATGCCAGGGCAAGAGCCGCCTTTCTGTCAAAGCATCAAAGGGGATCAGGTTCAAATGCAAACAGCCTGCTTTCCTGCACATGCTGCATATCAAGGCTGGGCAAGTGGTCTTCAAACATTGCAAACTGCGCGCGTTGAAAGGCGAAATAATTAAACAAAGTTAAAGAAAGTCCCTGCATCTGAGTGTTGAAAAGGATGAGGTTGTTTCCAACAGGACAAGCATTGCCGGCAAAGGGCAACTCTGTTGCAGCAAGGGACGGGCCAAACACGTTTGCAGGCAAGAGAGCCTCGTTTCAAACCCAATTGAGGCCGTTCAACAAGTCTCCGTTTGTTGGCCGCGCAAAATGGCTGTGCTCTGTCGTTCCAAACGGTTTTTTCAACCGTTACAAACCACCTCGGGCTGCGAGGTGATCTCAACCGTAACCCCAGCTGCAAACCCTGAACCTTAAACCCAGAACCCCCTAAAACCATCCAAAACCAGGTGACTGGCTCACTGGGGCTGACGGTTTTGCACGTGTTGTGAACGTTGTGAACCATTTAGGCCACTGCACAGCACACACGTGGAGACCGTTCAAATGAAGTGTTGCAATGACAGCACAGCTCAGGTTGAGCGAGTCGTGAGGCTTGAGGGTTTGTGAGAGAGTTGAGAGAGTTGGGGGGGGGTGAGGCTTGAGAGGTTGCATCTAATGCATCTTAGAGATGGTGGAGTGCTGTCTAGAACTTGCAGGCGTCGATGCGATGTCTTAGTCTTGCCCAGCCCAGCTAGAGGTTGGCACACCAGCGCAGTAAAACTTTTGATGTCTGCGCGTCGGATCCACTGCACACAAATGTCATCACATGCAAAGTCATTCTCTGGTGGCACTTTCACATCCTCGAAAATCCAGCCTGGGATGGACTGTTGTGACTACTGCAGTCACTGCCAGGCCAGAGTTCAGCATGAAGTGTCACGAACAAGCTATGCTAAGCTATGCTGGGGCAAACCTGCTTCTGTGCATCTCAGGGGCCTTCGTCAACCATTAGCTTCCGGAACTCCTCACAGGAGATGAGATAGAAATAGCTAAAGCAGCGCTGGGTCTCAGAAGCTGGCGGACACAGGGCATCAAAGAGATGCCAAGTGCAACACTTCCCACCTCTTCAACTCCTCGAATCTCGTTTGCCCAGAGAACGCTGCTTGGAGCGAGTGCATCCAACGTGCGTACCAAAAGCGGAGAAGCGTCCCGCAGGTATACGCAATCCTGAGGCAAAGATTTGCAGATTCGACATCCATTCAAGCGCAAACTGATGGGCTTTGAGGCAGGGGCCTTATGCTGCTTCTGCCTTTACCAGACACAGACGAACGCAAAGGTACCATCCCATCCACGGGCTTTGTATGCTCACCGGCCGTATTGAGAAGCTGTTTTATGGCAACGGCGCCTGTATGTGTCCGTGTGCTTTTCGACATCTTCGGACCATGTTCTAATGGCCACGGGACGTAGGAGTCATGAAAGGCTTTTACTTATGGCGATGCTGGCGTCTTGCATGGGTCTAACTTTGTTCAGAACCGCTGCCCTTTTAGTTTTCTGCGTGGGACAGACCGCCTTCGCCAAGTAATTGTGACGACAGTCCGTGGACTGCGGATTACAAGCGCCGCTTGTCTTAGTTTCTATTTTTGCGTGCGTTCAGAACCTTAAAAGCATGACAGACCTGTGCTGCACAACACAAGGCGAAAACGCAGTTGGACCCCGAGTTTACTTCCGCCTTTTGTGTTTCACGTTCTCGCTTGCGCTTCGCGCTCATGGACTTGAAAATCAGCATTTCTTAAACTCAAAAAACGCGTGGGCGCGCACGGGCGCATGACCTGGTTTATGTCCAAGGACGACAAGGGACGGCTAAAGGCAAACGTTGTATTTGTGTTGCTTAATCTGCGTCGGCTGGGAGTGAAGCTTTTGTTGAAACAAGGGCAGAAGGTCGTGCCGTCTGCCTGTTTCCACCGGTAAGGTCTCGGTGCAGCATGTTCTTTCCGAGCTGCAGACATGATCACCGTATCGACGTCCGGAAGAGATAGGGTACTTCCCCACTCCAGCTCAACTGCATCCGCCACATCCTGCAACATTGGTGCGCGTCAGAAGCAAAACTCATGTCAGCTCTCAGGGCACTGGGCCAGTCCTCGAGTCCATTGGCCTGAATGTTGGCGCACAGCTGAGGAAGCAGCACCTCGCGGTCCTGAGACGCTCCGAATCACTCCGACTTTGGGAGTTTGGAACGCCGGGAACGGGAGAGGGGAACGGTGTAGCTGAACATTTCACGCTGAAAATCCTCAGTCGTGTCAGGCAATGGTAAGCACACTACTTCCTAGTATTCTTGCTGCTGCAGCGGCTACTCGGACCGTTTTGTACTAGTACGACGACGACGACGACGACCACCACCACCACCACCACCACCACGACTACGAGTATTATACTGCCAAAACTACGACAGGTGTTCGGCCACAAGGACAGGTACTACGGCGAGCACAAGCTATCATGTGCGAGCCCCCCCGCCCCCCTCCCCATGCACTCCCCCCCGCCCCCTCCCCCTGCAAACACCCCCGCCTGTTAAATAGTTGTGTATGGTCTTTCTGAGATTGTGCAGTCTGCGTTGGTTGTGCAAAGACAGCAGAGCTAAAGAAGTCGTCCTCAAACGTGTTGACCCTGTCTAGATTGATAAGTTGCAGACCCGTCACGGTCATCGTGGTGCGATGGCCCAGCGCTGCTGCAATAAGCCCAACATAGCCTGTTCCTGAACCAAGCTCGACCACTCTTCGGCCCAGGGAAATCCTCAGTGCCAGCACATTCCGCAGACAGGATGCACCCGGCATACTGGCATGGATGCATTGGACTTGACAGGTGAATGGCGCAAAGGGGGTTGCAGCACGCAAGTAGAAGTACGAGAGTTCCGTCTTAGAAGTCGACAATACAAATTATTTTACTTTGAACATCCCCACCCTCTCTTGGCAGAGATACTCTGGGGTTGGGCACTCCAGGGACACTCTGGGGCTGGACACTCCGGGGGGCGACTCTGGGGTTGGGCACTTCAGGGAGACTCTGGGGCTGGGCACTCCCGGACACTCTGGGGTTTGGGCACTCCATGCACACTCCAAGGACACTCTGGGTTGAGTACTCCAGGGAGACTCTGGGGTTGGGCAATCCTGGCTAAGGTTCGGCACTCGGGCGTTGGGCACTCAGGAGACTCTGGGAACACTGGTGTTGGGCACTCCAGGAAGACCCTGAACTTGGGCACTCCAGAAACACTCTAGAGTTGGGCAGGGACACTTTGGGGAACTCCAGGGATGGGCGAGGAGTAGACCGGGCGAGGAGAAGAGTTCCGGGCCAGGAGAAGAGTTGAGTTTAAAACCTAACAACCCGACACCGAGGGTGGGGAAAAAAGCGCAGCAGGATGCTGTTGTTCTCCAAGCATCTGCTGCTTCACCAGCAACTCGCCCAGGCACAGCGCTGAGTCCCAGATGGATGCGCCAGACTCATCGTCTAAGGTAACAGCAGCTACTTCCACAACCTGAGATGCAACGAGCACATGCAGAGCACAATTGCATGTCGGACTGCTTCTAGCTTGATCCATCCCAAATGGATTCGATCGGTTACTCTCGTCCCTGCCCGGAAACGGCGTCCTAGTTTGGTTGCGAGCTGGGCCAGTTGGGGAATGACATACATTACACTCCGCTAACGGGGAGGAGCGGGACACCGGCAGGCGGGGTCTGGGTTAGTGCTGCCCTGGGGCAGGGGTCGCCCCGGATAAATCAGAGAGTCTGCTTCCACGTTGTGCTGGGTGTGCGCGCTTACTCGAGGGGGTGCAAGTGTTTCCCAAGGATTCCATGAGTCTGGGTCGGTCGTGGGTTGTGTCGTCATTGTTTCGGCTTGTGTTCTCATGGATTCACCGGTCAAATCGTGACGAGCTTGGGACCTTGGCCGGTGTGCGATCTGGTTTTTGTGCATGTTTCTCCCTGCTGGTGCTATCTCTGCGTGTTGTCCATCTCCGTGTTTTGCGCACGCAACAGGCCGCCCTGGAGGAGAGAGACATGCGGGGCATTTCAACCCACAGCTCGATCTTGAGAGGGCGCTTGGAGAGCAGTGGCGGAGAACCGTCCAGTCCTGGACCTTCATCGCCGGCCCAGCTGGGCATCAGGGACGAATAAATGGCAGCCCATGCGGACGCTGCCCACACGGCTAGTGGAAAAGGGAACGGGTATGATGGTCCTCATCTACAGAGCCCGTATAGACTGGTTCACCTTATACACGTAACACGTAAATCCATGGAAGCGAGTCACAAGCACGTCTGCTGCCTCCCCAAGCCCGTTGAAAAATTGAAGGCCGGGAAACCGACACCTGACGTGTGCGAATGCCCGCAGCTTGTCTGGCCCTCAGTCCGTTTCCACTGCTAGTCTGGCAACCACACCAGTGACGCTCTTTTGGGGAACGGCTGGCATCGTGATGAGAGCTAGCCACGCCCGCAGTTGCGACCAAGGAATCAACAACCACGAGGTTGTAAGCCCTGGGAGGAATGACCCCCGGAGCATCAAAGGCGGACAACATGCGTCTCACCCCGTCTATGTCAACAAACACGTCGACGAGCTCTACTACCTCTCTTTCTTCCTTAGAGCTCTGTCTCTCTCGCTCTCTCCCTCCTCTTCTCCGAAACGTCTCTCCCAAATCTACCCGAAACGCGCCGGACACATGCTACGCCACAGGCATGGAAGCCTGAGCAGGCGGTCACTTTCAGCCCCACGGTGAGCTGCTGGTCTCCCTCCACCACTTTTTTGTAGTTCTGTAGTCAGAGTGCGCAAGCCGACGGACGATGAGCTTGTATCCCATGCATGCCGAAGTCTTCCAATGTACCATCTCGCGAAAAGGTCAATGCCTCTCCGGGCTTGGGCCGTCGCATTGCCGGCTTGGTTGCTCCTGGTCAAGGAGCTCGGGGCTGCTGCTCCATCATGTGCCTCACGCGCTCCCTTGTTTGGCGATTCTCTTCTGGCACATAATCCTTCAAGGCCTCGTTCTGCGTCTTTGGAAGATTCTGGGCAGAACCCACGGTGCCACTGAGCATCCAGAGAGACAAACCAACTGTTGGCAGAAGCTGCATGTGCCTTCGGTGCTCTTCGTATAAAGCACCTCATGCAAACCTTGTCGGTGCCCTTGCGGTGCCAGTCGCGAATGCATGTGGAGCGAGTCGGGAATAAGGGGGTACCGTGTGGAACAAGCGGATCAGGGGAACACTCGAGGGGCGAGTTTGCCTGAAAGAGGGCGTGTCGGGAATACAGCACGAGCCAGTTAGGGACACTAACACCAAACCCTAAAACCCCTAAACTCCTAAACTTCCTAAACCCTAAACACACCCACATAACCCTCAACCCTAAATCCTAGACACCGTAATGAGCACCTATAGACCTCAAACTCTACCACCTAACAGCCTTAAACCTTAAACCCAAAACACCTACATTTCGGGGTCCCCCGAGCCCGAAAAGCCCTAAATCATCCTTAACCCTAAAACCCCCTAAACTCTAAAGGCCCTAAACCCCTCTGTTTGATTGATTGATTGCCTGTGGGCGCGACCGCCCTTGCGTTTGCAAGGCAACATAGGCTGCTCCAAGCTGTACTAGTGGAGACAGCACTCAAGCATGCGAACAGCTCAAGGGCAGAGAAGAGGGGTTCCGGCATTCTCAATGGTCCAACTCGTCACGCTCTCTCTGTTGCCAACCGCCGGCCATTCCCAACTCAGCTGCCCTTTGTTCTCGACGCGCGCCCGGGGCATTCGCTGCAAGACCCTGCCTAACACCAGCCGGTTGCGCCCAACTCGATTAACATTCCACAAAGCCTGCTGGCCGTCTTCGCCCTCTGCAGGGTGTCGGATCTGCAGCAGGCGACGTAGTCGATGGCAGCGATGCATCCGCCAGGCGTGTCTGCTGGCTGGCTATCGGAGTGATAACACATGTGCCACTCCGCTGCAGAAGTACACTGTTTCAGCGATGGCTGTGGTGGGTGGCCTTTCTGAGATCTCTGCCATGGCTAAGATGCTAGAGGGACTGACAAAAGGGAAAGTTGAAGCTGACCAGACCTACTGCCCAAACCCGATTATTGGGGCTTGAGGTTTCGGATTGACACCTGGCCAGATCTCACTGCAAGTGTAGCTTGCTTGCAGCTGGAATCCGTTCCCCCACCTCGTTCCTCGTTCCCTCTGCTCTGCCTGTGTGCTGATCTCCCCATGTGTTCTTTGACTTGTCAGTGCTGTGTCAGTGTCATTGCTAGTGGAAGCTCCTGACGGCCGATATATCTCGCACTACTGATGGAGACGGCTTCGGGCCTTCCCTTCTGCTGCAGCAAAGTTTGCTAGTGATCAAAGCGACTGAGCATTCAGAAATTTCCGGAAACGATGCTGCGGAAGCCATTCCAGAGGCAGCTTCGCTAACCAAAGGCTTAGACCAAGGATGCTGCCTTGAACGCCCACATCTCAAAGAAGCAGAGAAAGCCCTTGCATCACTGCAGGCTTGGAGCACGGCTGCTGCGGCCGCCAGCTGCGGGAACTTCAACACGCCGCATGCAGCAGCAAGTGCACCATGAGCAGGTGTGAGCGGCTCGGCTGGTGTGTTGGGTCCAGGGGTTAGTTTGCTACGGGGTCAAAACCATGTCACCAGCTGCAATGCAGTCGACTCGAAAGAAATGGACTCGTCCGAAATTGGATTGGCACAAATCTGAGAAGCAGATTCAATTGCATTCGCATCGACATCAATCACCACAAGCAAACTCTCTGAACTGCCGTAGCCCACTGTAGTCTGACAGCACGTGATGGTCATGACGACATACGTGGGTACTGGCAGACCGTTCCCAGCCTCATTGGTCGGGAATTCCTGCAAGAGGTCACAATTCTCCCGGCCAAACCCGACAGCACAATTCATGCTTCAAACCTTTGGTATAATCACACTGCCATCTGCATGCTTCTGTCATGTGCGCAGCCCTCCGTCCCGCAAACCCGCCCCGAGCCTGTCTCTGATCGAAACCACGACCAGTGTGGTCAAAAAGCACCAACTTCTTCCGCGTGGCCACACACACCTCTCCAAATGTGAGTTGTGTGAGGCTGGCAAGACTTGCAATTGACTTGCTACACCTTATGATAATATATCATACCTTGACAGCACCTCGCCAGGCCTCTGCAGGGCTTGTGGAGCTTGTCGAGCTTGCAGCTTCCTCGCCGACGCCAGTGTGCAGACACATGTGCTTCACCTTGGCCAAGTTATGCTCCACACTGCTTCACCTCATGTTCGCACCTCAACACCAGCTCTCAGAGGTGACATTCCACTTTTTTGCTGCCACGGTGCATCTCTGCACAGCTCCACCTTAGTCACTGAGACTTCCAACTATTCGCTGCGCCCGTTACTGCACACTGTTCTGCACTCCGTCAAGGGCTTTCTAAGTTCAGGTCCGGGGCAGCTGACCGCACGTCTCTTGGCAGCACGTAGAGCACCCCATCCGATATGGCAAACACAAACCGGGACGTGGCACAAACCTACACAGGAAAAGCATCTCATGGAGGGCCTCCGGATGGACTTTTGGGGATGAGTTCCAAGAAATTGCCTGCCAGGCCTGCTCGACAGGCCGCTTGGAAGCAAGCGAGACGGCTCCCTGCAACGAGGATGCAGCTGGCGCTGGATCCTGCCCATCTCCGAAAGGTTTGTCGTGGGATAGCAACCGCAGTCGGTCCTCACGGCTCACAGCTTGTGGGAACGAAAACCTGGCTGCGACTTGCTGCGCACATGCACATAAGCATCACATGCCATAGAGAGCTGCTGCGAAGCATGCTAAGGCAACGGCTGAAGAATGTTGCCGATTGCGGTGCCAAGGTAAACTGAGTCTCCTGGACTCTTGGCAATGGCATGATCACAGGTTCCACTCAGGTTTCGCCCCGAATGGATGCCTCCAGAGCAGATACTTTCAATCTTCTCTTGCACGTTCAGAATTGTCGCCTGGAGCGACGAAGCACCGCAGAGGAAGCTCAAAAACCTTCGATCTGTGCACATGTTACATCTCAGCTTAGCACTGTCCGGAATGGGTCCATTCCACGCTTCATCTTGCTCAAGCATGTGTCGCCCTCTTCTTGTACAACGGGACAAAGACTTCATGTGACGACTGCACGACGTGCCACTGTGGCTCCTACGTCAAGTCTGGATTGTTGGAGGGCTGTCAGCGGCTTCAAGCTCGAAAGAGAACAAAGAGCTTGCAATAACATCCAGGGACGGTGCAAGCTGCAATAAGGCAAGAAAGTCACTCCAAACGCGTGGAACACGATGGCTTCGCCTGTTTCGTTCGATGTAATCCGAAATCACCAAACGTCACTACCCGAGCTTCTTCAGCCTTTGCATTAACACGCTTGCAACTTGTGGCAAGCATCATCAAGTTTTTGCTTTTCTCATCTGGTCCGGAAAAATGACAATGTCCAGCCTAAGCCCAGAGGACTCTTCAAGCCGGCACCTCGTTGCTCGTTGCTGTACGTTGCTGTAAGCACAGGACTGATATGGAGACTGCGGATGCTCCAAACGATGCCTGGCGCGTGACATACGCGGCGTTGCCACACTGCATGCTGACCTACCCCTGCTAGACTTCGCTTCCGTACGGATATCGAAACCTGCCAGGGTCACTCTACCTCCATGAGCCTCAGTACAGCCACAACCTGAACACGTCGGGTACGGATCTGGTATGTCTTCTCAAGCATTAACTCCGCTTCACACTCTGCTACGGATTTGCAATGGATTTGCTCCCGTGCTCCTCCAGGTGAAAACTGCTCGGCGATGGCTCGTACGCATCTCTGCGGCCTCCGTCTACTCAGATTCAAAGACAACAGATGCATCAATGCATCAATCGAAACTCGAAGTCGCATTCACACCATTCACATCACGTAAGCACGAAGCCAAATTGATCAAGGCGCATCTGAAGTTGCTCGAACGTGGCCTGCAACCGGCGCAACTTGTGGAACTGCGCTACAAGCAATTGTTCGGAAGCCGGTCTATCCAGCCTGCAACAGGCGCAGGTCAGAAAGCATCCAGGCACTCCTGCACAGGCATGAGCACTTGCGAACGAGCAGGCGGAGACGCAGGTGGAGCCGCAGGCTGGCGAGTGTTTCAACGCCTTCTTGGCAGTCCATATGCAGCACACAGTCCAATGAGAATGACCCGCCGCTGGATCATGGCAACCTCGCACTGACCCCCTCCGACCATCGGATCTGTCGATCAACACTCCGCTTAGTGACTTAGTGCTCCCCACCTCTTGCCTTCGCCAAGACTTGCCTGCCTGACACAAGCGACAAAACCAGGCAGGAGCACAGAAAAAGGTTTACAAAGGCCTGGCTGAAGCGGCAAAAATACTCCAGTAGGTTCGGCAGGAGCAACCTGGAGGCGAAGGTAACAACATGACAAATTTCTTTGAGCCTGTGGTCAACCGTGGTCAACTCTGCCTGGCCCCGACGGCATCCCGCATGTACACCTGAGAAGTTCAAGGAAGGCAGGCTGACACTGAAACAAAGGCTATCATGCCCAGACACTGCTGCCAGCGCCAGACCCATGCCCAAGTCACCACCTCGAACCTAGTGGGCGCACCGAAGTTGCAACGATCACATGCTGCTCGCCTATTGCTCAGGCATCGACTGACCTTTGCAGCTCCTCAATGCACCGATCTCACTCGATCAGCTATTGCATGTCACAGCCGCTCGACACCAGACGGAACATGAGTTGTCTGCAGCTCGTCTGTTGAGACTGCCCCTTTATGAGCCCTGCCTTGGGCCCTCCATGACAAGTTTACCCCTTACCTTCTTGGCCCAAGAAGCGAAAACAAAGTACTTTTTATGACCCAGAGACTAGGCATCTTTCCCCAAGCACAACGCGCGCGCACACACACACGCACACACATGCGCAGCTGGCAATCGGCGGTGAGGTCGTTGTGGTGTTCATCCCCTTGCTCTGGGGGTTGCTTGTGGGGTTTCATGCAGCTCCTAGATCTGACTCAAACCTGCCGCCGTCTGTAATGTGTGCGAGCACACAAATGGAGCATGAAAGGCACAACGGAGCACTGAGATGGGTAATGACGATGGAAACACTACCTCAGAACCCCCGCTTCAGTTTTAAAGCCCAGCCTCCTCACATTCAATCGGCGAGCATCATGCGCATCATTGCGTCCTAGCTTGTCCTAGGCCCTGACAAGGTTCTGAAATGAATCCACAAGCTTTTCAAATACCTCGGTTTTGTGCATGGTGCTTTTACTAGTGGGTGTAGGTTGTCCCCACTCTGAAACACTCTTTCCGGGCCTTTAATAAGAGATGAACGAATCGGAAACAAACTTCAGACGCACTTGGCTGGCTAGCTGGTGACCCACATCATGCCGGCTGCCGTGTGGCCCCCTGTCAAAGGGGTTTATGCCCTTAAAGAGTCTGTCCATACTGTACAGCTTTGCGTTCTGTCATGTCACTCACTTCATCCGAGCTGGCTGGGTAGGTGCATCGCCTTCGAAATCGGGTGAGGTGGGGATAGTACGGGGGCGGGGGGGGGGGGGGGGGGGGTGGGTATCTGCTATAGACGAGGCTCTTACAGACAGTCCACTACTGAAAGGCTGTGGGATTCGATTAGCACTTCCCTGCCAAGCGTCTCTAGGATTGCCCACGAGTAGGCGACAGCAAGGCAGTGCCTGAAAAGATCTCCTCAGCTCACACAATACACTCTCTCAGCTGCAAGGAGAAACGTGGCTTCAGGTAAACCGTGTGCTGCGTGACTGTTTGTGATCCTCCTCAGCCCGAAGCCAATCAAGTAGCGCGGCAGCAGTGATAGCAGCGCTCAGCGACGGTCCATCTAAATGCACCACGCGTTGTGCTTCCTTGAGGGCAGCTTTCTATCCCACCTATCAGCTTTCTATCCCACCAGGTTACCCCAACCAAGCGTCTTCACAATCATCTGGTATGCACTGGCGATGCTGGCAGCTTGTCGGAAGGTCTATCAATGCAGGTGATTGTGATGTAGACATGGGTAGGAAGGGACGCGCATGGATACATTAGGTCTTCAAGGCGTGCATGGCATAGATGAACGGCAGCTCTTCAGGTTCGAATTCTGAGTGCTGGTCCTCAAAGAGCGGGAAGGCTTTCTCACAAAGCCCCTGCACCAACATGAGCGAACTTGCATTGATTGGTAGGTAAGCACAGATGCATATCAGATAGCTCGACACGCATATCAGATAGCTCGGCACCTCATCCAGGAACCGAATCTTTGCGCAGGCAAAGAGGAAACTCGCAAGCTCGGAGAGAGGGAACTGCTGCAGACCCCGAGCCACTCTTGCAGACAGCGCAGTGAAAAACTCGTCATCCTCAAGCCCTTTGTCTGCGTAGCACCGGGAGATGGTCGCAATCTGTGATGGGCTGAAACGGTCTGGTGTGTCCTGGATTTGCTTGGCCATCATAAACAGCCAGAACTCATCCATTGGCAGTGCTTGCGAAGTGAGGGCCTCCACAAAGCAAGTCATCTCGTCAGCTGTAAGCTCCGGAATTCGAGCACAAACGAAATGGGTGAACAGCTGCACAATGCGATTGCCGAGAGGAAGCTCATTCTCGTCACCACGCTTGCCCATGCGCTTCAGAGACGGTGCGTGCCGACACTGGTCAAATATCCAGGCGACCTGAGCAACAGTAAATGCTTCCTGTTCGTGAAGTAGCTGTACTGTGTCCCAGTGCTGTTGAAGGCCTCTTGGAATCCCATCTTGTCGGAGCAGATCCAAAAGCTCTTCTGGGGACCTCAGAGATCCTGGATAGGCAGGACCAGCCTCGCTGGCCGAGCCCTGACTTCCAGGCAGAACTTGTTCAGGAACTGGCGGAGGCGGCGGTGGGGACCTTGCCTGCGTTGTCCATCCTGCTGAGAGCCCTGAGGGCTGTGGTGGCGGTGCTGCGGCAGGCAGCGGAACCGGTGGAGGCGGAGGTGGGCGACTGGACACCAGGTGATGGATTTGTCGTGAAACAACAGCATCCGACAGTACTCGTCGCACTCCAAACGCCCATCGTGCCATACATGTGACGCAATCTGAAATCCAAGTGCGAATGCATAGGATAAACTCCTCACATTTGTTTTGGGGGTGGGGGTGCGTAGCGGGGCCAGATCCGGCTGGCTTGTATGGCCGTGATTGCCACGACGTGGTAGTCAGTGAGTTTTGTGAGCAAGATGCCCGCAACTTCGAATTGCAGCATATTGGCTCAAGCGTGACTTGATAGTACAGGCGGCAAGTCAAAAAGGCAAAGCAGAGCATAATTTGCAGCAACAATCTTAATATGCTACCAATTGATGCGAAAATCTTCAATTGGCTGTTGATATCTTGGAAACCACCACCACTACACCTTAGACTTCTCACATCTTTTGTATTCATACTTACTAAAGGTTACGAAAGGTGGTTCTACAGGAATACCTCTTAAAAATGCTGCAGTAGATTCAGGAGTACATGATCCATACCATGACATGTTGTTTTGCTCTTTCTTTAGGAGCTAGAACTTCTATCTTCTCTGGAACAACTTTTACTCGGAGAGGCCTGGGGGATCGACTTTCGGAGAGGGTTTGGGAGGGGGCTTGTACCTGGTTCTTCAACTGCTGAACTGCCGTTCGCTTACAATGAAGCCCAGACCATACACGCGCAGCAGTCACAATGGCCTGCGCATAAGTTAGATGTTAGATGCTCTAGGATACTTTAGTGTGCCTTAAACAGGCAAGTCCTTGCAAGCAGCCATTTTCAGATGGACGTCAACTCTGTCAGCCGCGCTCGTGGTGGCTGCGACGTCTTCCTGGCATGAGCTGAATAATCTACGAAAAGGCGCCTACTGCTGCCATTCTGAAGTTAACTATCCTGTTCTTTGTGAGCACAACGGTCCCTACAATTGCAGCCAGTCGCACGGATGTTTAATCTTCCTTGGCAACAAATCTCCACAAAGGCCCCAGCAAGATTGGGCTTTGATCTGTCGTGATTAACCGGTTGCTCGTGACTGGGTGCTTCTCCAGCGGCGCGATGACCCCATCAGGCGAAAGCCCCCAAGCCCCCAGAATGCACGTGACAGCCTAAAACTACGGCAACATCGGTTCCTTGCGGACTGTGAGGGGGCATCAGCTCCGGGGTCCGGATGTCCGGACGTTGACCATTGTTGACCCACATTCTCCCCACAGTAGATCTGCAGAATACACACACTGACAGATAGAGTGCCGAATTGGGAACCTCCCCAAACGGTGTGCGGACTGGGGGAATAGCGGTTGTCATCATGAAAGCAAGGTTTCAGCCCGACGTGACAAATCTCGCTCTCGCCTACTGGTAGGATTTCAAGTCGCACTCCCATTCGGTCCCGTGCACTTTTCGATCAATCCCTGTCGACACTTTCCTGGTTTTTGGGGTTCGCTTCGTGCGTCCCTTTTACGGGGATCTGCATTCTTCCTCGTATGCCTCGTGAAGTACATTTGAGAAGGGGCCATGAAAGCCAGGGGGCGCAAGGCATGTAAGGCAGGGTTGAGGGTTCAGGGTCAAAATCAAAAACCCGACATCCTAAATCCCGAAATCCAGAATCCTGCCCCGTTGGTTCGGATCTTTGTATGGTCAAGGCGCAGAACAAGCAATGCAAGCAAGTCTCCTGATTTATGTTGCGGGAACAAGCAATTCAAGACTGGCTCCTGGTTCTGAAACGAAGTCATGCAAGCCAGGCAAACTCACAAGTTGCGTGACAACTCGCACAGCTGACCGTCCATGAAAGCGACCAGCCGGTTAGACTGAAAGGAGACGCTAAACCTTGCATCGCGTATGCAGCCTGGAGCACCTACAAATTATTTAGAAGGAAGGGGGAGGGGAGGGCGGGGAGAGCGAGGGGGGGAGGGCGGGAGGAAGGGCAGGAGGGGGAGGGGTGAGTGGGAGGGAGGGGGGGCGGAGGGGGGGGAGGGGGGTCGGAGGGGGGAGGGAGCGGAGGGGGGGAGGATGTGGGTTATTGGATGTCGGACCAGACCGTGTGTAGGTGGCCCTTGCGAGCCAAGCTCTATCCACCACGCGGCCCACAATCACAAGTTGCAGCATGATGGATGAGGAGGAGTTACAAGTAGGAGCAGGATGTGTGATGATGGCCGAGTAAACAGTGGTAAAACATGCTGGGGGCTCCGCTTCCACTCTTGGAACGACATAATGGAGTCGTCCTCCTCCTGGCAGGCGGCACGTGTGTCGACAAAGGAGCGAATGTCAAACACCTTTACGTCGGCAACACCTGTGCATGGAGCGCGGGCACGTCCCGTCCCACCACGGCAGGGATGCCCGCCACTAGCGATTCTCTCACCTGCCAGGGTCGAGGGTCGAAGGCAACTAAACAAAAACAGATGAACGATCTAGCTTGCGACAGACTGAAGGGTTGTACATGCGGCGACCTGAACTTCTTCAGAGTCGTTAGTCTTGGCCTCACAGCAGCACACACGGAAGAGGCATCCGGTCATGTCTGACTCCTGCACTTGGTGCACACTGCGTCTCGCATAGCAGCTTCATGCAACTTCTGCACCTGCAAGAAGCTGTCAGCTGTCCACAGTGCAAAGACGTTCAGTATGAGCGGCATCAGAACCTCCCAGTCAGTCTGCTATTTCAACGACAGAACCGAGCAAAACATCGGCAAGGAAGGGTGCAGACCATGACAACCACGAGCTTCGCCCGTGGGAAATCATCAAGCCACCTTGGTTATGATCTGGGCGTCGGTTCGGCAGGGTATGTGTGCGGGTGGCTGACACAAAGGCTCCGTTCGTATTGAAAAACCGTGAATGTTGGTGCCACACACGGCACACCAAATGAGGCAACACAGGGGAACTTCTTCAGATACTTCGACACTCTGAAAGATCGGCTGCACAATGCTGGCATGACACGAGCATTGATCCAAACTCAGGGCATACTTCAGCACAAGAAAGAGCGAAATGCTACCCATCACGAGCAGGCACTGAGATTGCTTTGTTGTGCACCCTGTCAAGCCAGAAAGGGTACGGAGAGGATGCATGACGCGCACGGAGTAAATGCTGGATGATGTCGGAATACTTTTGGCATCCTGCAACCCAAACGGAACCCGAGGTCAGCGCCCAAGCAGAGCTGTGCTAGTCCAAGCCATGCTTGCCCGGAAGTTGATGACAAGCCTGTCTCTGTCTTGCACATGGAGAACTCCAAGACCCATGCCAAGCCCTGGCATTGGCTCGCTAACTTGAGCCGGACTGGCGCCGCCAGCATGAGCTTCTGTACAAAGACCAGCGCCTCACAAGCGTCAGTTGCAGCATGCGGAGCTGTGGCCTGAAAACTTCCTGTGACAATTTAAAACGCCTGCCAGTCCAGCAGCTGGCGGAGAAAAATTTTCGTGTCAGGCGGATCGCCGTAGTGACCGCACCTGACAGCTTTCAGCCTAAACAACACTTGACTTGGGGTGAATTTTGTCAGGCCAAACATGTCGCTGATCTGCTTGTGCATTGTGCACTCGTCCTGTGTTTGCTCAGAAGTGTATGAAAGGCCTACCTGCTTGAGTACGCTTTCCGCTTCTGCGAGTATATTGTCGTGGGCCAGAGACATGTCGAGCATTGCCACTGCTCATACAACATTGTTTCTTTGGATAGGTGTTGGACTGCCACATTCTGGCAAAGCATGTCGGCGGTGACGCATCTTTGGTGCGGTTTTGGCATCTAGCATCACCATGAGACTCAACAAGCACACAAAAAACACCCCTCTGCCAAAGCAGCGCAGAGGAGTTTCCACCTCAAAACGAAAACCAGACATGAATTCACTTCGAAACCTTTAGGAAGCTTCAGAGCTTGTCTTCCGCACGCATAGGTTTGTTCAGTTGTTTTCTCATGTTCGAAGAACTTCCATGGTGGTGGGCGGGTTTGAACTGCGCACCCTTGCGGCGACACACTCCTTGAAAAGGGGGAAGGCACATTCGACTCCAACCACGAGCGCAACTGCAGTTACTGCACGCACACACACACACAGCCCCTGTGTCGCTGTAGACGCGGTTTCAAGTACGAAGCAGCCGGAGGTGGCACAGGCCCATGATGGCACCTGTGCCGACAAAGCTATGCACCGCGGAGGAAGCACCAATTGGGCGTACCAGAAAGTGATACGGAACGCAACTCTACCTAGCAGATTCTATAGCAGTCTCGCTGTACTTCGGCGCATCGCCGCTGTTGATTCGAATGTGGAACCGCAGATGGTACGAGAGCGGCAAACACACTTGAAAAATCTCACTTCAGAAGCGCACACAGAACTTGGTAATACAAAACCTCAGGCATGCATCGAATACCTCGACAGTGAGCATTGATTGGTTCATTTGCATGCCCAATGCTTTTCTGAGGAACCAGCCTTGCAAGCTCTGGCCGTGCTACCAGTTTGCTGCGGTAAACGCATTGCCTTAGGAGATGCTGGATTGTCGTCTCGGTTCGCGGGCATCCGGGCTGCATGCGGACGAGCATCAGCAGTCGCAGCAAGAGGAACATGATCGCAACGCCTTGGCACATGCGACGGAGCACGGATGGACGGCGAGGCCTTGGGGTCCAACAGGGTCACACAACGAGCTGCCGGCCCAAGGTGCAGTCCAAGGACATGTTAATCCAGTACCTTCGCCAACCGAATGCCGCAAGACTTGGCAAGGCTTGGCAAGGCTTGGCAAGGCTTGGCAAGTGTCAAGCAGCAGACTGATGGGGTCAAGGCCAATTGCAGGGATCAGCATCCACTGCCAGCCATTCCCCAAATCCCTGCCAAAAGCAACTCACAGCTTCACAGTTTTTACGGGCTTCGAACATGCTGCCGACCATGGATAACCCGATGTTGATGACGTGGTTCATCAAGGCCTGCCATGGCACATGCCATAAGGCCATACGCCGCTACACACAAGCGATCTCAAGCGAACACAAGCGCGAGAAGGCGAATGGCCTGCGTACCTTGTTTTGCTGTGTCAAAGAACCAGACCTGCAATCTGAAGAAACACAACTTGTTTCCAGACTGCTCCTCAATCCAGCAAGCATGCATCCAGGAACACGGAAACAGCAGCCGCCAAAAGACTATGCATCACATGCGCCCCCTCCGGAGAACATGCCGTGCTCCGCCTTCCAGGGCCTTCTCACCTTGTCGGTGAACCTGCGCTCAAACTCTGGACAGCGCCATACAGCGCCCCCAAAGGGCAAAAAGCAGCATGATGCACCATGATGCACCATGATGCACCATGATGCACCTCTTGCCCACCAGGGATACAAGGCCTCACATTCCACAAGCCAGACGAGCTCTTGAAACATGGATGGCAAGGTCGGAGGCTCCAAATAGCTGAGGATGGTGCACACACAGCCGAGGAACACCTGCAACCACCATCCAAAAGAACCCCACCTCGGTCACGGCATCTGCTGCGCTCGCCCTACCAAGTCACTTCCCACTAGGATCCACACTTCCCCAGCAGCTCACATTCCAAGCCTGAGGCCGCCTCCGAGAGGATTCTCAAGTGGATGCTCTCACTTGGATACGTAAACTGGCCCAAGAGGCTCAAGAGCCCTAAGATGCTCAGCATGCTCAAGTCTCGAGGGACTACGGGTCATGCGAGTCACCTGGCCATGGACCCCAAACAGCAGGTGCTGGGCACATCACTGTAAGGATTTCTGCGGATAGATAGCGCCAGGAGTATGCGGAAACCTTCAGGCCCACCGCGCCCTTGCCAAACCATGAAATTACTAAATGTATATCTCACAGGAGCCTCGTTTCGTTAGATCCCTCATACCCTTATATATTTGCAAACCTGTCACGGCTAGTCTCAAGTCAAGTTGTCATTTGTGTTTCAGGTCGATAATGGCCTCCACATCTTCCTGTGCCACCATCATGACGCGTAATCGGACACGCTTACAGGGTCTCGTCAAGGGATTGCAAGGGCTTCGGGCAGCATGCGGCCAAAGCGTATCAGCAACTGCATGGGTCTCACGCTCTTGCGCCACCTAAGTCGCTGAAACATGCTGAGAAGCAGTACTTGGGTTACTTGGGCGTAAGAGAGCCTACTTTCCATACATGATTTGATCGTAAAGACATGTAGCTACCTTTGCCCCCCTCGCCTTTGCAAGTGTCAGCGGCATGCTGCATCATGCTGTGACATGCACTTCAATCTCTGTCAGCACACCACACTCCGGGAGCCTTTGCTCCCTGAAACTGCAAAAGGAATAAAAGGAATGAGGTGCCACACTGGAAACTGCCCAGAGGCCATTTGCCTCCGACGCACGGCCCTTTTTTGCTCTCGCAAACATGTCCCTGGCCTGAACCGCTAAGCGCTCAGCCGGCTGTTTTTGAGCAACATCTCACCATGGCAGTAGTCTGAGCGAGGCTTCATCGTTGTTTGATTCAATAATGATGATACGGAATCTTTCACGCCTCCACTTTGACAACCAGACAATTCAAAGCATGTCCACCGCCGCTCTTTGTGCATTTACTACTGTGCCTACGTTGAGTTGTTTCGAAGGGTGGCTGGTTCGAGACCTTCCACACTAACTAAGCCCATAGTTGCGCTGACACAACTGTGAGCAGACCGCCGCGGTCCACTTTTGGGACCAAACTTATTGAAGCTATGTGTATGCGCATGTCCCCCAATGTGTCTGTTGTTGTCTCAAGTTGCATACTCAGGGTCACCACACTTTCTCTAAGCTGAGCAAGTTGCAAGTGTTCTGAGATTTTCTGCAGGGCAAGCAGCTGCTGGTTTCCAGCATCTGATGTCCCAAGGCATCACTCTACAGTAACACTCTTAGCGAGATTGCGAGGTTGATCGATTGAACAACCTCGCATGTCTGCAATGTAGTATGACCTCATGAGTGGACACAAAGCAGCCAAGCATCCCAACTAAAAAAATGCAAAATGTGAAAAGAAAAAAAAGATCGAGAGCAGAAGCCCAGCTCCAAGCAGGAGCTGCAGTGGGATGCAGCACATCAGAGGTCTCGGAGAAAGGTGCGCTTCTGACCACGTGTTCGGTGTGCTCCCTGTTGAAGGATGTTGAAGGTGATGCAATGCAGTGCATCTCTGAGAGCCGCACTGCAGCTCCAGCTTCGTGTCGGGACAATGCAAGGTAAAGTGGGCAATCTTGGATGACACGCTTGGCGCGGCTTTGGCCAGTTGAATGCACACAAAGCGCGCATCAACAGCTTGCTCTGCTGCTGCCGAAGGCTCGCTGCTGAAGTCTGTGTTCCCATCATCTGTGAGCACAACGACAGCTGCATCTTTAGACCTGCCCCGGCACATTTGCTTCAGTCAAGGAGAGAGACGTCCACTTGCGGGATAAGCCGGCTACCGGAAGTCCATGACCATCTGCTTCATGTCTTCGTAAGCAGGATCTGACCTTTCCAGTCTCCAACGGGGCCCCTAGTAACCCCATGCAGCCCCCAGGCCTCATTGCAACGCAAACCACAGGCACAAAGTTTCTGATCAAGGTGATGCTGCCATGCCTGCTCACAAGAATCGCTCGTGAAAATCTTTCGATGGATTGGAGCGGATGCACTCTCCTGATTTCTGACGCAGGAAAGCCCTCAGCATGGATGTAGGAGATCTCCTGCAACACGCTGAAAACAGACCCTCTACGCCCCAAGGCCAAGAAAAGCAGGAGACCGTCCTTCAGTTTCAAGGCACCTTCCAGAGCAACTGGATAGTGGATACCCATTCCACTGAAGATTGCATTTGTGGCCAACCGGAAATACCTCAGGACATGTTTCAATGAACACTGTGGAGCAGCAGTCTCGTCATTGTCTTCTGCTCCACGACAAAACCATCTCCGGGCCAGGCTTAGAAATCACCATGGTTTGGTCGGTCAGAACTGACAACCTTGCAACAGGACGTCAGGATGTGCATTGCAGTCCCTGTCGGACCGCACTGAGTCCGGGACCATCGTTCTATACTGTCAGGTACAGAGTTCAGGGCCGCACAGTAGCTGTTCAGCCTCGGTGCCGAGCATTTTCACTGCAAAATATCATGGCAAGAGCTGGGGTCAAACGAAATCGGTTGTTCACTCGCGAGCCGGAATTTCAGGCCGCCACATCGCTTCTGACAGAACTCCTCGCTGCTTTCCAAGACGAAGCGCCATCAAGAGGAGCGCAACAACCTGTGCAAATCTGAAGGAACTTCTGGCAGCCTGCGAAACACTGGAATGCGGCTTGGCTGCCTGGCATGTGAATGCCTTCGTTGATGCAACGCCAATCTCAGGCCCGGCATGCAAGTACATGCCTGCATCGGTCCTTAGCTCCAACGTGCAAGCCGAGCAACAGAAATTACAGCGCTTGCGATTGACATCAGCAATGAGACTCTCTTTGTCTGTGTCGTCTGTGCTGGGGCTGGAGCTCACGTGCAATGCTGGAACCGACAACATTGACCACACCAATCGTCAGAGCCTTCCATGTTGTACTGTCACTGACGAGCAGGAAGGTGAAGACAAAACTTAAAACAGACCTCGTGCTGCTTTGCCATCTTGATAGCCTCTCGCGGATATTCCAAGCGTGCTTCTACTGTTAAGTAGTCTCGAGAAACTTCGAACCTCCAATGTGTCGGCTGTTTCGCCACTCTGTGATATGGCAATGAGGCAGTCCGATCGACCTTAAACTACCAAGCAGCCGCTTTTCAGCCAGACAGTGCCTGGCTCTGAACCCGGACCCTCAACACTGAGGGAGCAACAAATCAGTGGCTTGCGGTATCTGAACTCACTGGCCTGCAGCTGAACGATCTGAATCCACAGGTACGCGAAGTGGCATGCGATGGCTCGGGGTGAGGGTCGAGTCGGCAAAATGCCAAAGACCGAGTCAGAAAACAAGGAAGACCGAGTCAGAAAACGCAAAGGCGTGAGTCAAAAAACCGACGAGATGAGTCAGAAAACGGCCCCAAGTACACAAAGATTAACCTCTACAACGAAACGTAATGTTTGCTAAGTAGCCGTCTATCCCTAAGAGAAGTACCTACTTTTGTAGGGGTCTATCGGGACATGTATAGACCCCTACCCGTCTATCCTCGGATACACCCCTATCTACAAGGGACCTCTACCGGAAACCAATAGGGGTGCCTACACATAGGCACCTCCCATAGGTAGGATAGGGTCCTATACAGGGGGGGGGGGGGGGGGGGGGGCGGGCGGCTCTGACATAGACACCCATGCGGGCGATAGACCCCTATCAGATAGGTCCCTATGCAGGTCAAACGTCTCCAGGTCCACACAAGCTTGCTTCAAGCATTGAGTTTTTGGAAAAAACTTATCATGCGAGCATTGTGTTTGCAAATGGGGGGGTGCGCCCCCTTCAACCCTACCGGCCTTTTTAAGCCGTGCAAGCTTCCTTCAAAAGCTTGTTTTTTTTTCAACCCATCATGCGAGACCTTGAAACCCCTACACCGTAAACCCTAAAGACCTCTGAACCTTAAACACCACAAACACCTAAACCATAAACCCTAAACAAACCCTAAACCCTAAATCCTAAACCCAAAGCCCTAAAAGCCCCTAGACCCTAAACCGTGAAAATACCCTAAATCCCAAAAGCCCCTCAACCCCGAAGGCTGAAACCCCCTGAACCCTGAATCCTCAGAACCCCGAAGCCTAAACATCAAAAAACACCAAACTTGAAACCTCAACAAACCCATAAACCCTAATCCCTAAAAAGAAAGCCCCCTAAACCCTCAAACCCCCTAAGCCCTGTAGCGAGAAATCCGAGCACCCGAACAACGGGTGGAGTTTTTTTTTCTTCCCTTTTTTTTTTTTTGCTTCCTTTTTTTTTTTGGTTTTCTTGGCTTTTGCTAGGAAAGCCACCATTCCCTCCGTGTTTTCAAAGGATTCGTACTACTCTTACTCGGATTAGGAGCTGGTTATTTTTTGGGGGTATTTTTTTGGTTTTTTTGTTGGGTGTTTTTTGTGGTTTTCATGTGTCATCTAGAAAGGTCCTCTATTTACTATATGCGAAAAGGTATATATGTATATATGTATATATGTATATATGTATATATGTATATATGTATATATGTATATATGTATATATGTATATATGTATATATGTATATATGTATATATGTATATATGTATATATGTATATATGTATATATGTATATATGTGTATATGTATATATGTATATATGTATATATGTATATATTTATATTTGTATGTATATATGTATACTTATATATATATATATTGTTTAATTATTTAGCTATCTATATTTACATATATTTATGTCTTTATATATATTCATATATATATTTATATACATGGATAATATACAATATATTATAGTATATATATATTTAATATTGATACGTCTTTATGATATTTTATATATTATTTATATATATTTATAGGGAATGTATAAAATACCAGATATATATATTTATGTTTTATAATTTTTTTTATATTCCTTTAATTTTATTTATATTTATATGTGTTTTATTTGTAAGGGTCTATATTATTTATATTTATATATACATATATATAATTATGGATAATTCTATATATGTCTATAATGTATATATACATATAGCTTTATGTATATTTATATATTTATGTATTCATGTACTTATGTATTTGTGTATTTGTGTATTTGTGTATTTGTGTATTTATGTATTTATGTATTTATTGTTTTTGTATTATGTATTTATGTATTCATATATTTATATATTTACATATGTATATATTTATATAGTTATGTATTTATACATTTATGTATTTATATCTTTCTATATTTCTATATTTATACAAGTTTCATATGCTTTGAAGCAAGCTTGCACGGCTTAAAAAAAGCGGGGGGGTTAGGGGGGGGCGCAGCCCCCCCCCCCCATTTGCAAACGCAATGCTTGCATGATGGGTTTCCAAAAGATTCATAATAATTTGAAGCAAGTTTGCACGGCTTAATAAAAGCCGGGGGGTTTTGGGGGGGGGTGGGTGGGGGGTGGGGCAAAGCCCCCCCATTTGCAAACACAATGCTTGCATGATGGGTTTCAAAAAAAGTTTCATATGCTTTGAAGCAAGCTTGCACGGCTTAAAAAAGCGGGGGGGTTGGGGGGGACGCAGCCCCCCCCCATTTGCAAACACAATGCCTGCATGATGGGTTTCAAAAAAAGTTTCATATGCTTTGAAGCAAGCTTGCACGGCTTAAAAAAAGCGGGGGGGTTGGGGGGGACGCAGCCCCCCCCCCATTTGCAAACACAATGCCTGCATGATGGGTTTCAAAAAAAGTTTCATATGCTTTGAAGCAAGCTTGCACGGCTAAAAAAAAAGCGGGGGGGTTGGGGGGGGGCCAGCCCCCCCCATTTG